GTAGAGGGGGTGGAGGGATAGGGCTGTGACAAGAGAATTAGCCTGTCATAAATACAAAGGGAAGGGTAACCACCTTTCTGTAGACAGTGCTATAAAATCCCTCCTGGCCAGAGGTAAAGTCCTGTTACCTGTAAAGGGTTAAGAAGCTCAGGTGACCTGGCTGGCACCTGACTCATAATGACCAATGAGGGGACAAGATACTTTCAAATCTGGAGTGGGGGGGAAAGGCTTTTGTCTGTCTGTGTGATACCTTTGCCAGGAATAGATCAAGGATGCAAGCCTCCAACTCCTGTATAGTAAGTAATCTAGCTAGAACATGCGTTAGGTTTTCTTTGTTTTGGCTTGTGAAATCCGCTGTGCTGGAGGGAATGTCTATTCCTGTTTTTGTGTCTTTTTGTAACTTAAGGTTTTGCCTAGAGGGATTCTCTATGTTTTGAATCTGACTGCCTGTAAGATTATCTTCCATTCGGATCTTACAGAGTTGTTCTCTTATCTTTTTTAGTTCTTCTAATAAAGTTCTGTTTTTTAAAAATCTGATTGGGTTTTTTGGGTGTTAAAAATCCAAGGCTGGTCTGTGCTCATCTTGTTTATTCTCAAGCCTCCCCAGGAAAGGGGGTGTAAGGGCTTGGGGGGATATTTTGGGGAAATAGGAACTCCAAGTGGTCCTTTCCTTGTTCTTTGTCTAAATCACTTGGTGGTGGCAGCATACTGTTCAAAGACAAGGCGAAGTTTGTGCCTTGGGAAAGTTTTTAACCTAAGCTGGTAAAAATAAGCTTAGGGGGTCTTTCATGCAGGTCCCCACATCTGTACCCTAGAGTTCAGAGTGGGGAAGGAACCCTGACACAGCCGACAGAAGGTGTAGGATACAACAGCACAAAAGCACCCCACACCAACTGGAGTCACACCATACCCGTATTGGTTGCTGGTCCTGTTGAATCCCATCTCTCCAGTAACACAAAGTCAGAGTCAGGCACATAGAGTCTCACGCGCACACACACACAAAGTCAGGCACGCAGACACACACAGGCACAGGCATGCAGTCAGGCACACAGAGTCAGACACACAGACACAGTCTCACACAGACACACACACCTCTTTTCCTGTTAGAACAGTGAAATCTGAGGAGCTGCTGTGAAATGTTGCCCATTAAGCCTCCCCTTTGCTACCATCTAAGCCCATCTGCTGTTGCTGCCCTAGCTGGAATTTCAGAAGCCAGAACCCCTCGGGAGGCACTGAAGCTAGCTGCACAGAGGTTTGCACTTGCCAAAGAAAGCTGGAGGGGAGAGGCCCAGCTGTTTGGCTGAGCATGCAGGCCCAGCAGGACATGCTCTGAGAGCAGGACCAGAGGACCAGACTCCATCTGTTCACTCTTTCTTCCAAGCAGGCAAAGCCCTCATTCTTTGTGTTTAATGTTCTCTTCTAGAAACATCTTCTACCACGGACAGTGCAGGCAGGTGCCACAGGGAGCTGGGGCTGGGGCGGCTAGTACTGGCTAGATGTTCCCAAAGGCTATGCTGTGAACCTTCCTGAGGCTCTGCTGCTGGAGAAAAGGCCGACTAGCAAGCGTCTAGAAATATCCTGGCCTCTCAGGGTACTCCAGCTGCCATATTTACCCACTATCACTGCTGGGTAAAGGGCAGTTTACAGGTGTGGGCAGCACGGCAGCAGCCACAGCAGAACCACCTGCAAACACTCAGTTATCCCAGTGAACCACCCAAGCGCAGGACAGCTGAGAGGATTCCCTGGTTTGCATTTACTGTCTGCATTTCTCTTATCTTGGAGAACAGCAACAGGCTGGTCAGTTTCACTTCCCGGTTCCCCTGCACTAGCCCAGTTCTTCCATTCCTTTTCACAAAGCTCTCTCCAGTCGATCGCAATCTCCGGACGCTGAAAGTCCAGTGGTGCAGCAGGGCTGCCACTAAGGCAGGCTCCCTGCCTGCCCCGGCACGACGACGCTCCCGGAAACAGCCAGCACACCCCCACAGCCCTGGAGGGATGCGGGGGGAAGAGGGGACTCTGCGTGCTGCTCCTGCCTGCAAGCACCATCCCTGCAGCTCCCATTGGCCAGGAACGGGGAACTGCAGCCAATGGGAGCTGCGGGGGACAGTGCCTACAGAGAGGGGCAGCGGGCGCAGAGCCACATGCCACCCCCACCAGGGTTGCATTGGCTCCTTCTGGGAGTGGCGTGGGGCTGAGGCAAGCAGGCAAGCACCACAACTCCCAGCCCTCTCCCAGAGCCAGAACCTCATACCCCCTCCTGCATCCCACACCCCGAACCCCCTGCCCCAGCCCTGACCCTGCTCCCAGAGCCAGTACCCCGTACCCCCTCCTGCCCCCCAAAACTCTGCCCCAGCCCGGAGCCCCCTCCTGCACCCAAACTTTCTCCCAGAGCCTGCACCCGCACCCCCTCCTGCACCCCAACCCTCTGCCCCAGGCTCAGTCCGGAACCCTCTCTCACACTCCGAACCCCTCGGCCCCAGCCCAGAGCCTGCACACCCTCCTGAACCTCAACCCCCTGCTCCAGCCCAGTGAAAGTGACTGGATTTCTGGTTTAAGACATACACTAAATGATAGAAAAAACCCTGCTGGAGCCAGCTTTCCCACTGCATGGCCTGGGGTTAGCGCCTTATCCGCAGAGGGATCAGGGCCAGGCAGCAGCTTTGGTGACTCCTGGTAAATGCTCAGCCCCACTGGTGGGGCAACGAGAGCCCTGAGTACTAACGAGGAGAGTGAGGCAGAGAGAGCTGCTCCCATGAGAACGCTGGCCAGGTATTGTCTTGTACACAGAGCAGCCTATCCTTGTTATGGCAACCCCCAACCTCTGCCCACCCACTGCTCCCTGCCTGGCCCATGGCCCAGGAATCGGTGAAGGGATGGGGCCATGGCAGGAGCTGGCATGGGAGCTCACAGCAGGTGGGAAGGGCACACCAGCGATGCCACCTGTGTGGGTTGCCCTGTGTTCCAGCACTCAGCAAGGCGCTGAGGAGGAGTGAGCACCTCTTAGCACTCTGAGGCTTAAGTGAATAAAACAGCCAGGATCCCTGGTGCAAACCACCTGGCCAGCCCCACTATGACATGGCGCCCACCCCTCCTCCCCACAGAACTAGAGGGGCCAAATCCACCTCCAGGGTTGCTGGGTCGAGAAGGGCCTCAGGACAGATGGACAGGGCCCCAGGCTGTGCTAAGACACACGTCTTCCTGAGTGCTGGGAGCTGCAGCCAGCCACCGTCCATCATCCGCATGGAAGCGGAGCCAGGAGAACCCAAGTACAGCACCAAGTGACAAATGCAGCTGGGGACCCATGTGCTCCCTCCAGGGCAAGGCTTTCTTGGATGGGCATGACCATAAGAACTGTCAGACTGGGTCAGACCAAGGGTCCATCAAGCATAGTATCCTGTCTTCCGACAGCGGCCAGTGGCAGATGCTTCAGAGGGAATGAACAGAACAGGGCAATATCAAGTGATCCATTCCCTGTTGTCCACTCCCAGCTTCTGGCAGGCAGAGGCTTAGGGACACTCAGAGCATGGGGTTGCATCCCTGACCATCTTGGCAAGTAGCCATTGACAGACCTGTCCTCCATGAACTTATCTCATTCTTTTTTGAACTCCGTTATAGTTTTGGCCTTCACAACATCCCCGGCAATGAGTTCCACAAGTTGACGGTGCGCTCTGTGAAGAAGTACTTCCTTATGTTTGTTAAATCTGCTGCCTATTCATTTCATTGGCTGACCCCTACTTCCTGTGTTATGTGAAGGGTTAAATAAAAATTCCTTATTCACTTTCTCCACGCCAGTCACGATTTTATAGACCTCTCTCATAGCCCCCCTTAGTCGTCTCTTTTCCAAGCTGAACAGTCTCAGTCTTTTTAATCTCTCCTCATATGGAAGCTGTTCCAGACCCCAATCATTTCTGTTGTCCTTCTCTGGACCTTTTCCAATTCCAATATATCTTTTCTGAGATGGGGCCACCAGAACTGCATGCAGTATTCAAGATGTGGGCGTACCACGGATGTATATAGAGGTATTATGATATTTTCTGTCTTAGCTCTCCCTTTCCTAATGGTTCCTAACATTCTGTTAGCTTTCTAGCCTGTGGCTGCACATTGCATGTGACTGACAGGTGTAGGTGTGACTCCGTGGAGATCAGTGCTGTTCATTCAGCCTCAGGCAGGCACTCCAGCACTGAGAGCGTTCGGGTTTGGTCACGCCCGGTTGGGCCCCACACTCACTGCAGCTTCCTGACGTGCGTCACGGCAGACAGCTGTTCTGAGCCAGGCATGGGGCAGGCAGGGCTGAGCACCACACGCATGCACACCCCCAGCCAGATGCCATTGGCCCAATGGGACTATATGCTGAAGGTGGGGAGGGCTGGGGAGCTGAGGCCATCTCCTGAGGCCCCCTTGCAGCTGGGCTGGCTGCCAACCTCCCACCAAGTGCTACACTGGGAGGTGCTTACAGCTCCCAAATAGCCCCCTCTTCGCAGGGGAAGTGTGAAGTGCCACCAGTGCAGCTCCATGCATCCCCCCTTATCCCCCACGCGCCAGGGGCTGGTCAAAGCAGCCTGCTGGTTCCATTGCTGCCAAATAAACCAGCTGGGACAATGTCTTACACTGGGCTGCTCTTCCCATGTCTTCCCGCAGGAGAGCACAGACACCCCAGCCACTGCTCTCAACACTGTCACACTGCCCAGCCTGAGGGAACCCAGCTCAGGCCTCCCAGAGCAGCCAGAATTAAGTCACTCACCTCCCAGCAATCCTTCCTTTGGGTGAGCTACTGGACACTTGGGCTCTGCACTTGCACCGAACCCAGCCCTGGGAGCGCAGCACACCTGTCCTGCCTGAGGGGGAGGGCTGCAGCTGGGTTTGTTAGCAATGGAGACGTGTGCATATGCGGCCGCCCAGAGGAGCGTGGAGGAGTGTGCGGCCCCCCAGAGGAGCATGTGTGCATGTGGAGGAGCGCGCACGTCCATGCATGAGCATGGCTGCCCATTTTTAGGCTCTACCTTTTCGTTCTTTGCGTCCGTGTCCAGCTCTGCTATCTTAGCCCACTTCTGCCAGAAGTTGGGGTCATCCAAGGAAATGTCAGTTCTGTTCCCTGAAGCGACAAAGCTGGCCTGGGGGTGAAGGAAGAGCCAGTTAACAGTCTGCGATGCATCCTCAGCAACAGCAAAAGAGGCTGTGTGCTCCCACCTGCACCCTGTCTGTACAGAGAAGGGATCACTACCAGCAACCTCTTCATTTGCTAAGGGGTCCAGGAGCCAGGGTTGTTTCCAGCCCCCTGGAAATTCAGCCCTGGCAAAGTATAAGAGGTGGGACAGCCCCACCCTGTCCAGCAGCGCCCAGATTGCCAGCCTTGGGAGCACAATGCAGTACAGCTTTCATGGGCTCCCTCCTCTACAGCAGGCACCTCAGCAGGTGGTTAGAGCTGAGCTCTGATGGCACTGACGTACGGTGCGCTGCACTCCCCCTGGCCAGCAACGGGAGCATACAGCAGAGCCAGCCATTACCCCCTGTGCTTCAGGGCAACACCCCCCCAGAGTCAAGTCCTATGCAGCAGGAGGGAGGAGACAGAATTAGGCCACTGGGGTCCAAGAATGGATATTGAGCTGGTGTCTCTGCTCCATAGGCACAGGGAGGACAGTACTGCAAGAATAATGGCCCTGCATCTCCAGACTGCTTGCAGCCCTGGCTATCAAGCATGAGTGCACTGCTGCTCTGGCAGCAGGGGTTCCATGGGGTGGACAGATCCACAGACGCTGAGCACATGGCAGCAGGGGTTCCATGGGGCAGACAGACCTATAGATGCTGCGTACATGGCAGCAGGGGTTCCATGGGGCAGACAGACCCACAGACGCTGCGCACATGGCAGCAGGGGTTCCATGGGGCGGACAGACCTATAGACGCTGAGCACATGGCAGCAGGGGTTCCATGGGGCAGACAGACCTATAGACGATGTGTACATGGCAGCAGGGGTTCCATGGGGCAGACAGACCCACAGACGCTGCGCACATGGCAGCAGGGGTTCCATCAGGCAGACAGACCCACGGATGCTGCACACATGGCAGCAGGGGTTCCATGGGATGCACAGACCCATACGTTTTGTGCACATGGCCGCAGGGATTCCATGGGGCGGGGGCTGGACAGACTTTGGATAAATGTGCTCAGGTCCCCAGGACAAGGCCAACCCTGCAAATTCCCCTGGGATCTGTGAGAGAAGCTTGGCTCTTTCCTTCTCACACTTCCTCCCCACAACAGAGGGCGCAGGCCTGGCTCAGCCCTGAGGGATCCAGGACAATAGATTTAGCCGGGGCAGGAGAGAACACACAGCCGGCCCTGCCACTGGGATGCATCTGTCAATCACTAGAAGGAACAGACTCCAGCTCCCTCCCTAGGGCCATGGGACCTCCAGTGGTCCCTGTTGAACAGGTTCTGGACCGGGCAAGGTCTCTGTGCAGCCAACCAGTATCGCTGGGGCCTTCATGACAGCCCTTTGTGCAGCTGTGGGGCAATGCAGACAATGACGCACATTGTTGAGGAATGCCTGCTGATTACGTTCAGCAGTGGCCTAAAAGAACTGCATCATGCCACTGAAGATGCCATCGCGTGGCTAGATGACTATGCACATGCTAAATAAATAAACTGATGCGCGAGTGAGCAAATCTGCAGAGTACAAGGGATCTCCTCAGAACAGAGCAACATCTCCTGGAGGTTCCTGAGGCGCGGGAAGGATCTCTTCCAGAGCTGAGAACAGAACCCCCATCTCACTCTAACTACTAGAACACTCCCCCGCACAGCATGGATTGTGCGGACACCATGAGAAATCCAAGAGCCTGGGAAAGGCTCCACAGGAGACATCCATCCTGGGTGAACTAGACAGAAGCCAAGCTGAGCTGCTCACACAGCCACCCCTTGCTGCCAAAGGCTGGCCATGACATTCCCTCCTACACCCGGTGCCCTCCTGTGCCGCCCCGCTTTCTGTACCACCTGGACTCAGCTCCTGACCTCAGCGGGGTGGGACCCAGCTGCACTGACACACACAGGGATGCTCAGAAAGCAACAGGCCAAGCCAAGACCAGGGAAACGAAGTCTGTGTCCCATCTGCCCAGTGCACCCCACCCTTGCCCTGCCAAAGAAGGCAGGCAGCTCCCCAGGCAGTGCGCACGGCACCTTGGCAAAGGTGGAACCCTTCCCCTCCGACTGGATAGTGATCGTTTGGGTTCTGCGCTGCAGGATCTGATCAATATCTTCCTCGCAGAACTTGGAGCCTTCATCTTCCTCGTCCATTAAAGCCCCGTATGCTCCTTTCCGTAGCAAGTCTTCGACCTCCATCTTTGAGAGCTGCTGCACCTGCAAAAGATACAGGATGTCAGCACTGTGCCAGCCGCCCCAGAGCCGGGGCTAGGCTGGGAGTGCAGGCATGGGGGACGGAGGCTCCCTCTCCGAGCCAGCCCTTGAAGGAAGGGGCATCTAACAGTCCCAGAGCCATGGTACTAACTGGAACTGCAGTGCCCATCCCTGCAGATGGTGCCTATGGAACTGCGAGAGCCTGCAATGACTGTGCTAGACTGCAGCTGAATGCCCCCAGACACAGCCCGCTCCTGACCCAAGAGTGGACAGGGAGGGATCTGGGTGAGATCAAACAAATACACAGAGGGAAAGTGAGGCAAAAGGCTGGGTAAACCACAGCCCCTCTGCCTGGCTGCCCCCTGGAACTCCTGTTAATGCAGCCGCCCTTCTGGGCAGGGGACCTGCCCACACACTCCCAGCAGGGCTCTGCAGCTTCCTCTGGGCTAGGAATGATCCAGTCAAGGTACAAGACTTCACCTTCTCCACACTGGTACCTGGCCCTTCTCCTACCCCCACCCCCAGACACTTCCCTGGGAATCAGGACTGTCACATAGGTGTGACGGGTCTTTAAGCTATTTTGTTTATGATGCCATGGGGCAACTGGCCACCCCTGCTGGTCACAGTGCTAGGAAAGTTCAGAGTCCGAAATGGGAGAGCCCTACAGGCCCCGGCCCCCAAGACCCAGGCCCAGCTCTGTTACTGGAAGCTGTTAGTGTGCTTTCACACTTCCTGCTAAGCTGTCATCACCTCGTCTCGCTGGCAGCGCCGCCTGGGCACAGCAAGACCACCACGTGCCCTCTGCTCTCTCGCAGGCAGTTCCCATCCATGGTGGTTAGTTTTGATAGCAGGGGACAAGGCACCTTTGGGTACACTCAGCTCCATCAATGTGGGATCTAAGCGCCCCCAAGATCCTGGGGTAGGCTCAAAACTCAGTCCTTAATGGACATTCATCCATCCAGAGCCACAGTAAACCTAGCGGGGTGGAAGCCTCTGCTCAGGGCAAGCCAATGGCTAGATGAGCAACCCTAGAGCAGGGGGCTGCAGGTCAGGCCTAAGGGGCATTGGCAGCGCTGGGGGGCTGGGCTGGATGCTGCAGGACAGGACTGATGTCCACGGCAGAGGTACCTGAAATCTGTTCTGTCAGGGACATGGATCCTCCTCAGGGTCTGCATGAAGCCTTGGCTCCACACACTCACCCGTGCTGTGCGGGCAAGCGAGTGGGATCTGTCCTGCGCTATGGGCCACAGGCCTACTCCGGAGGCTCAGTCCTGCCCCCCTCTGCGCAGCCAAGGGCACTGGGGGCACGCACAGACACAGTCACTCGGGGGAACACGGCAAGGAGCCTTCCCATGGCAGACAGACAGGCAGCCTACCCCGTTGGTGCTGCCCTTGCGGTTGATGTCCTGCAGCACGGCCTTGTCCAGGCCCAGCTTGAGGCTGGCCTTGTCGAACATCTCGCGCTCGTAGGAGTTCCTGGTGATGAGGCGATAGACCTTCACGGCCTTGCTCTGCCCGATCCGGTGGCAGCGCGCCTGTGCCTGGGACAGCAAAGGTCACAGCGTCAAATACAGCATGCGGGCAGCATAGGCACGGCTCTGCCTGCAGCAACCACTACAGGAGCCCTAGGGCACAACGGGCTGAGCCCAGCCCTCACCCCTGCCCGGAGCACAACGGGCAGAGCCCTGCCTCCGCCTCAACAAGGTGTCCTAGCGCTGACCTGAAGGACCCACCCCTAAGGAGCCGCCTTGGCCAGTCAAGGGGCAGTGAGCGCCATGTGGATGTGATGCAGAGGCCTGTTCTGGACTCAGCGCCCCCTGCACCTGAGCTGCCCTCATCTGGGGATTCCATTCACGGCAGTGCAGGCCATGCTGAAGCCAGGAAGCTCTCAGCGACCAACTCCGCATCCCCCCACCCCGGGCCATGCTGGAGCAGGCACCCGAGGGGAGGGAAGGTTCTCCCTGCTCCTCACCCCCCAGCACAGCTGCTCCTTACTGTGCGGCACTTCCAGCACCACTCTGCTCTGACTGCCTGGGCTGGCCTTCTTTAACTGGCCCTAGCTGTGGGTGGTATCTTGTCCCGTGGTCCCATTGGCTGTCCCCAGCGATGGGCGGGGCCTTGTCCCATGGTTCCAGTGGCTGGCACACAACTCCTCTGCTCTAATCAGCACTATTATTCATGCAAACCCCCCCACCCCTCTCGCCCCACCAACCCCATCACGGCCCTGCTCTGCAATACCTGGAGGTCGTTCTGTGGGTTCCAGTCTGAATCGAAGATGATGCAGGTGTCGGCAGCTGTGAGGTTAATGCCCAGGCCTCCCGCCCTGGTGCACAAGAGGAAGACGAAGCGGTCTGAGTCCGGTTTGCAGAAGCGATCGATGGCAGCCTGGCGCAGGTTCCCGCGCACCCGCCCATCGATGCGCTCATAGGTGTATCTGTTCAGACAGGGAACGGGGGACACGGCCAGGTCACCATACAGCCTGCACCATGCGGAGTAGGGCATCTCATCTCCGCAGACCCAGCTCCTGGAGCTACGGGGTGCCAGCCACCAGACTCAGAGCTGCTCTGGCAGCTCCAGGACACTCATTCCATGCAGGCACAAGGACCCCGGCTCTCCTGCTCCTGGGGCCAAGGGCAGCCAACCCCATGTGGCACAGGGGCCTACGGGCTGTGCAACACCTGAGGGCAGGAAGCGCTGCCATTCTGGAGCAGAGACAGGGCCAGGGGCGGCTCCGTCAGAAACCTGTGCAGGGGCCTGCGCTGCTCAGAACTCTATGCCTGCATTCACAGGAGGCCAGCAGGAGCCCACACTGCAACAGAGGGGGCCATGACCTGGCCAGCAGACCCTGTGGCCTTGCCCCTGCCTGACCCTGGGGGCAGCGTTCTGCAGGGTTCCCTCCCACCGAGGCTCCCACACAGGAAGGCAGTGCAGCCTGCACCTGCTAGCTCCGGCCCCAGTACACAGTGGGTGATTGTGGGCTGAGGACACTCTGCTCTGCTGGTCATGATGGATGTGGCCTCCTGATAGGCATCCTGTGAGTTAAGCAGCTCGCACAACCTGGGCTCCCTGGGGCCAGCCAGCGCCAGCTGTTGATTCCCCACCAGGAACCAGACTTCTCCTCTCTGTGGCGGCAGGGCCACTGAACAGCATGTTAGCTCAGCACTCGGCCACGAGGCTCCCATGGGCTCTGGGGAAGGAGCGATAGGCACAGGGGAGCCTTAGCCCACAGGGTCCTGTCTTCACCCGGACACTCCCAAGACGGGCCAACAGACAAGCCAGGGTGTGCCCAGGGAACGACACTCTAAGATCTCTGGGCGAGCCAGCACTGAGGGGGGGCTCTCCGGACAAGATGCTGCACAGTAGGAACAGGCCTCCACACTCACCACTGGGGCAGATGGTAGTGAGGCTCCCTGGGAATATTGGATAGGTGGGGCCAGATCCACTCCCCACACGCTGATGGCACAGAGCCGTGTGACGCTGCCCCAGGAGGCAGACATATTCCCGCAGGGTAAGAACAGAATGAAAGAATCACCCCCTTTGTGGCTATGGTATAGCAGGCACGGGCAGGGTCCTGAGGCTGCTCTGTGCTGGGGGAAGCACACAGGGGTGTGCAGGGGCCTTTCTCCACAGCCTGCACTGAACACAGCTCGGCTACCTCCCGGCTTGGGACCATCACTCATTGCAAACCGACCTCAGAGCTCACTGGCAGTGGGCATGACAGAGCATGGCACAGGGTGGGTAAGCCCCGCTGATGTAAGGATCCAGGAACTAGAGCCCAGGTCTGCAGAGCCTGAGATGGCTGACGTTCCCACAATGCACTGGGAGGCCATGCAGATCCCCAGCCATGGGGCAGTGTGGGGAGCAGGCGTCGCAGAGACCAAGAGTGACAGCCCTCTGACTGGCCAAGTGTCCTATTGAACCCTGGAGGGTGCCCCAGGAAGTTGTCTGGGCACTACACGGACTTTGGGCCTGCTGCAACTCCAGAACCTCGTCTCGGCCTCTGACCCTGGCCTGTCTGACCCTGGTTCCTGCCTCCAGCCTGGTACTACCGCTGATCTCTGATCTCCCACCCCGGCCTGACTTTGACCCTGAATCTTGCTAATTGAACCCCGCTCTAGCTCACTGACTGCCATCCCTGATGTGTGGACCCCAGCCCAGCTGTGACCGCTAGCTCCTTACAGTGGACAAGGCAGGGTGTGAGCACAGTGGGTGAAGGGTGTGGGCAAGGCAGGTGAGGGCTAGGAGCAGGGCAGAGAGGCTGGATGGGCTGACCCGTGTAAATAACAGAGCAGCATCTCTAAGCCATTTTCCTGCCACTTCCTCTGGCCACTTCTCATCTCCCAGCCACAGCCCAGTGTGAAAGTAACTGGAGGGAATATGGCCGTGGCAGCTGCGACTGGGGGCTGGAGATGGGCAGAGAGAGGGGCCAGGAGCAAGGGTCTATGCAGCTACCAGGACACCCAGGATCTCCCCAAGAGCACCTGGGAATGGCCCTGACACTCGAGCATCACCCCGATCTACCACCACCCTCCGCAGTCTCCCACGTGGCTCTTGCCTGGCGCTCTCCACCCTAGCCAAGGGGGAGCTGGGCGAGACTGAGTGCTGACTCAGCGGTGCAGGGCGCACACCAAAGCCCAGTGACCCCTGCCCTGCACACCTGGCCGGGCTAAGCCCCTGGAGGCTTAGCACAGAGGGGGAGACCCAGCTGGCTGGGCTGCAGCGAGGGGCCAAGGGTCTGGGGTGGGCGAGTAGAGAATGGAGTGAGGAAGAGGAGGCTGCTGAGGACCAAGTGACCAGCGTGTGCTGAAGGAGGAAAGCTGCGGTGAGCTGGCTGCAGCTACTTGGGCCCCCCCAGGCGGCGGTGCTGCTTCGAGAGCAGGGCGTCGCCACGCTCCCCTACACTGCACACCAGGGCACAGCCCAAGTTTCTTGCCCAGCCTGTTCTGTGTGGGCAGGGAGGGTTGAGAGGGCATGTGCCCAAGGACTGGAACACACAGCAGGGCGGGAGGATTGGGGAGTGCCAGGCAGCGCTGTACTGACCGCCTCTGGATGAGATAGTCCTCCAGGATGTCCAGGCAGCGCACCATCTGGGAGAAGATCAGCACCTTGTGCCCACCGGCGATCAGCTTGGGGAGCAGCTTGTCAATCAGCACCAGCTTGCCAGCCGCCTGGATCATGGCCTGCAGCTGAAAGTCCAGCGCCTCTGGGCTGTGCGACTTACGGAAATCTTCCAGGATTTTCTCCTCCGCCCCTACAAAGCAGGAGGGGAAATCAGGCCTGGCTAGAGCTGTGGCCCACCTGCGCTGCCCGAGCACAGCCATCCTTGCTGCCTGGGCACAGCTGCCCTAGCCCTGCTCTCCACTGTCACACACCACGAGGTAGCAGGCCCCAACTGCTGCCAGAGCCAGGCCCGACACCCGAGCCAGGTGGTCTAGGAAGCTGGTAAGTGGCCAGAACTACGGAGAGTAATGACTACACCTCACTCATTGCCCCGGGGTGGGAGCTGCTGAAAAGCACCAAGGAGCCCCTCACCACCATGAGGCAGGGCAGCTGCAGCACTGGTGCAGCTCATGGTGCTGAGGAGGTTGGGCATCTTGGCGTGTCCTGCCCCTGGTGCCCCATGCCCTACGGCTCACCGTTGATGAGATAGGGGTGGTTGCAGCACTTGCGCAGCTCCATCATGGTGTTGATGAGGTTGGGCATGTTGTGCTGGTTGGCGCCCTTGGACAGGAAGGAGAAGTTCTTCTCTAGGATGGCCCGGTAGTATTTCTTCTGGATGTTGGTCAGCTCCACCTCGATGATGGTCTCCTGCTTGGGCGCCAGGTTCTTCTCCACATCATCCTTCAACCGCCGCAGCATCATGGGCTTCAGGATTGACTGTAACTTCTTCACCTGCCCAGGACAAGCGCAGACGCACTGTCCCCCCCGCCGTGTGCATGGCAGGCAGTGAAGACAAGTGCAGAGCCCTCTTCGGGCAGCCACCATGCACGTGAGGTCTCTGTGCTAATCTCCTCCCAGGGATACCAAGGCAAGTCTGTTCTGCTGACACCGAGAGAAGACTTCTCCAGCTGCCAGCCCTGCAAACTGCACTGGGGTCTGAGAGCCGGGCTGGGCTGGGCTTGGTTACACCCGTGCAGGCCCACTGCTTTCACCCGGGCAGGTGTGTGACTACCTGGCCGTGCACCCAGAGCTCATAAACACTTCTGCCAGTGAGCCTGGCTTCCTCCCCAGAGCACAGCTCATTCCCAGGAGCAGGCAGGCCAGGGAGCAGGGGGTCTGAGAGACGCCTGCTGAGCAGAGGCCCTTGTGAACCCTCACTGCACAGTTCATTGCCTCCCTCTGAGCACCCAGTTTATACCCAGCTCCTGCCTAAAGTGAGCCTGCCCCATATGCCCCAGTGCGATTCCTCCCCTTGTGGGCACAAAAATTGTTGCTGTCACAATGCAGACAGCTGCTCTGAACTGGGCCTGTTGTGAGCAGAAGGGAGGTCCAGGGCTCCAGTCCCACTGGGATGCTGCTTGCTTTATGGCTCCATGAGCCCAAACCTGCTGCACAGTGAGGAGGGGCAGACTCTGCAAGCTCCACCCAGGCTCTCAAACAGCAGCAGCAGAGGCCTCCAGATGGACGCAACACCAGGGATTCCGGAGGGGGTGTGCAGAACCAGCTGACTGCGCATGGCAAGAACCTACCCCAAAGGGCACAGCTTTTCCAGAGCAGAGCCACTGACACATGGATTTAACTGCCCCCTTTGCGTCTTTACATTGGGGAATGGAGAGCAGCAGGAAGGACGTGTGCTCAAGGGTGATGTGTATGCATCCAGAGATTGTGCGCTGTATGCGTAGGGTCTGTGCAAGTGAGCATGCAGGGTGTATACTGGATGCAGAGGGATGTGCTGAGCATGCATGGGGTGTGAGAGTGCTGAACATGCAGAGGGGGGTGTGAGTGTGCACAGAGCATATAGGAGATGTGTAGAGAGTACAGGGGAGGTCAGGGGTGCTGTGCGTGCATTAGGGTGCATGCTGTGCGTGTGCATGCAGGGGTCGTGGTGAGCGTGCGGGGGCATGCTATGTTTGAATAGGGACTGTGGGGTGCATGTGGTAGACTGGGGGGCTGTGCGTCCAGGGCATGCAGAGCATGCGGGGGGGTGCTGGGCATATAGGGGGGTACTGGGCATGCAGGGGCTGAAGATATGCTGGGCATGCAGGGCCAGGGAGGCGGGCAGGGGCCTGGGCGGGCAGGGCCTGGAGGGCGCTGGGCGTACGGGTGACTGTAGATCTGCTGGGTGTCTGCGGGGTGGGGGTGCTGGGCGTACAGGGGACTGCAGATCTGCCGCGTGTCTGCGGGGTGGGTGCTGGGCATATGGGGGACTGTAGATATGCTGGATGCGTAGGGGCTGTCAGGGGGCTGGCCAAGCGAGGGCTGTGGTGCATGCGGGGGCTGGGGAATGCTGAGCACACAGAGGTTGCGGGGGGCTGAGCACACAGGGGCTGAGCATGCAGAGGCTATGGATGTGCGGGACATGCGAGGAGTGGCAGGGGATGTGCTGGGTATGCGGGTGCCGTGGATGCTGGGTGTGCGGGAGCTGGGGATGCTGGGTGTGTGGGAGCTGGGGGGTGCTGGGCATGCGGCGGCTGGGGAATGGCGGGGGATGTGCTGGGTACGCAGGTGCCGTGGATGCTGGGTGTACGGGGGCTGGGGATGCTGGGGGTGCTCTCAGGCAGGATCTTCGCTTGCAGCAAGGAGGAGCCCTATTGCCTTCGCTGGGATTAAAGTTAAGCATGTGTTTAACTGTGTTTCCGGATTGGGGCCCAGGTGTGCTGGGCCCCGCCTTCACAGCTGCTGGGCCCCACCCCCACAGCCCTGGGCCCTGCCCCCTGAGCCTCGCTCCCACAGTCCCTGAGCCTCGCCCGGGGCCCCGCCAGCTCCTAAGCCCCCCTCCCAAGACCCTGCCCCTGCAACTCTGAGCCCAATCCCTGGGCCCTTCCAGCCCCTGAGCCTCACCCCTGGGCCCTGCTGGTACCTGCTCCTCTGTCTTCAGGTCCCCAAACTCCTCCAGGAACGCTGTCTCTGAGGGGAACTGCTGGGGCTCCAGGAAGTTCAGCAGGCTGAAGAGCTCCTCCACTGAGTTCTGCAGGGGTGTCCCAGTCAGCAGCACCTTGTGTTCCTGAGCAGAGCAGGGTCAGGGCTTCAGCATCAGGGGGCAGAGCTCATGCAGCCAGAGTCAGAGCAACGGGTTCAAAGGGGCTGGCAGGCTCGCCCCAGGGACACTCACTTGCCCTAGCCATGACTTCACTCCTGGGGCAGGAGGCCAGGGCAGCGATGCAGCAGACTGCAAACCCCAAGGGTCTGAAGGGCCACCGCTGGCCCAGGGCACTGGTACCGATCTGCTCCAGGTCAGCAGGCCCCCATGCCATTCCTGGTCAGGACACAATGGCCATGCACTGGAAAGTCTCTGTCCAGCCCTGACAGGTCCCTGTGTCACAGGATCAGCAGGGATGCCAAGGCCAGAGTGCTGCCAGGGCAGGGCTGCGGTAGCTCAGCAGCAGCACCGCGTTGGAAGCTCGCTCTGCCCATGCTCTCTGGGGAGGAGTTCTCCTCAGTGTCGCTGGGCCAGGCCCTGTGCCCCCACAAGAAGGAACATGGTCCAGCAGTGAGATCAGTGGACCGGGAGGCAGAACTCCAGGATTCTATTCCCAGCTCCACTGCTGGCAAGTCTCGGCACTGCTCTGGGCCTGCGTTGCCCCCGGCATAAAAGGGGGCTGACAGTAGCGACCTGCTGGAGGGCCCCATGTCTCTACAGTGGCTGGGTGGGGCAGTCACTGCCTGTACTTGTTCCTGTAACAGGAGGCACTGGCCCAGCTCCTCCAGAGGGAAATGGTGCCCTTGACTTTGGGTGGGCAATGGACAGTCGAGTACACCCAGCTTCAGGAGCCAGCGTGAGCTCAGGGCGAGCTCGTGCCGCTCCCCAGGCGCTGCGTTAAACACTCACATTTATCCCCAGGTCGCTCTGCACGCAGAGAGCAGCTTCAAGAGCTGCCGGCTGAGAGAATGAACGAAAGTCGGGGGTGCTGGGAGACTGCAGCTTTCCAAGGGCATCGTGCAAAGAGCAGAGGGTGAGGAGCCAGTGAGCAGCGCGGGAGCGGGGCCAGTATGAAAAGCAGAGGCTTGCAGTAGCATCCCATTAGCCTTGTACTGCCCACGCCCGCAGGGCTGCTGTGTGGGCAACCCGCCCCCAACATGGGGCACCAGAGAGTCAGACACGGACCCTTTTATGGCCCAGCACAAGCCCTATGACGAGTGCCATTCTGCAGTGCAGTGCAGCAGAGCCTGCTAGCCTGAGCACACCAGCATGTTGGTCCCCTCTCCAGGGGCACCATGTTTGCCCAATACACATCCAGCAATAGTCGGCACTGATCTGCTTCTCAGCCTTCACCCCTCTGCGTCATCCCAGCACTGACAGCTTTGTGAGCTCACTGAATACCAAGAAAAGAGCTTGTTTCTAGAGCACCTTTCATCCCAGAGCCCTTTACTTACCATTGCTAATACACAGTCTTTGTGCCACCCATCACTGGAAAGCAGCTGCCTCTAGAGTAGAACGCAGCAGCTGTGCAGAACACAGCACCACTGCAGGACAGATGGGGCAGGGAGTGCTGGAGAACAGCAACTCCCTCTGACAGGGCAGGGGATGTAATTAGCCACGGTGGTCTGGCCAGGAACTGAGATCAATGTTCCTGCTCTAGTGAACTGGGCCACAAGACTTGTAATGAGCACAAGTGGTCAGAGCCCCTCTGCTAATGCCCTTCTGGCAGCATCTCACGCTGGGTCAGCAGCGTCTGACACTGCCCTGGAGGGTCCCAGCCGAGTACCAACCAGGCCCCACAGCCTGAACTGGGGAAATCACAGCCCAGGGTTCAAAGGCTGAGGGCATCTTCCCAAGGACAGCCGTGCCAGTTGATGGGGAGGGCTCGTTCCCCTTCACAGCCAAGCCCTGGTTGTGCTGGAACAGTACCAAATGTGGCTGAGTCCAGCCCGCTCTGCACTCCCGTGAGTTCTCACCAGAGCCATAAGCTTCAGCCCCTCCAGCAGCTTGCAGTTCCTGTTCTTCAGCCGATGGGCCTCGTCGATGACCACGCAGCGCCACTGTATCTTCTTCAGCTCGGGGCAGTCGGCGAGGATCATCTCGAAGGTGGTGATCACCACATGGAATTTGAAGATCCCTGGAAGAGGGTTACCCTGAGGAGACACAAGCCAGGCAGTGCTTTATTCATGTCAGGCAGCGGGACACCCCAGACAGGCAGGTCAGCTAGCCACAGCTATTGGGCAGCCCAGCCCTGATCTGCGGCAGCTCTTCAGAGAGCCAGGGGCTTCATCAGAGAGGCATTTCGGAGAGTGTGCTACAATGTATCTGTGCAAGGGGAAGGCACTGCCATCCGAGGCCGCAGTGACACCGCAATGGCAGCCATAGGCCTTGCGCAGGGCCAGCAGGGGGACCAGCAACCTGAGGGTCTCCAGCAGCCAGAGGGTGACGCAGATGGAAGTGCTGGCCTCTTGGGAAGATGCCCTTAGGGACACTGGGACAGGGCTGCACAGTGGTCCTGACAGGCCACACCTCAAATGCAGACTCCCGAGCCCATCTCTCCTCACGCAGCAGGCTGGAGTGCACATTCAGCCAGGACTCTCAGGGCCTCTCCCTGCAAGTGCAGGGGGCTCCCAAAGGGCCTGTATCCTGCAGACTGGGTTCCTCCTACCCCTCAGACTAGGTGCTCCTGACACTCCGAAACTGCAGGCTAGGTGCCCCCCAGCCCACCACATCCCTCAGGCTGGGGCCCCCCAGCAAACTGCGTCTCTCAAGCTGGGTGCCCCCCTGCTCACCGCGTCCCTCAGGCTGGATCCCCCCGCGTCCCTCAGGTTGGGTGCCCCCCGGTCCACCGCATCCCTCTGGCACCCTGTGCCCCACAGAGATTGGGTGCTCCTGACAATCCACACCCCACAGGCTGGGTACCCCTCCCATCCCTAAGGCTGGGTGTCCCCCAGCTCTCCGCGCCCCACAGAGCAGGTGCCTTCCCAACACACCACATCCCACACACAGGGTGCCCTCTGACCTGCCGCTTTCCAGAATCAGAAAAGCAGGCTCCTGCTATGGAGGAGGCGAGCCCATTCTCAGCAGAGGAAGGGACCCACGGCATTCCCACCCTCCTGCAAGAGCAGTGCATGTCTTGGTTCGCATTGCGCCCCATCACTCGGGTGTTTCAAGAGCACCTTCCCTGCAGTTAGGGCAGCCCCGTGTGCTGGGCACACCCAGGCCAGTCGCTTCATGAAAAACTTTCCTTATGATGCAGAGCTAGGCAGGGAGCCAGGCTGCAAGGCTGACCCCAGGGGTATCTGTGACACTACACCCCATATTCATCATGGGGGTATGATTATGACATAATTATGATGCAATTTGTACAAGATGAGTCATGTGATGTGTCTAAGGAAAAGTTAGGATTTGCTGAATATGATTATCTTATTTGTGTGCATACTTCATTTTTGTATCTAAAGTTATGAATATTGACTATATATCTGTATTTCAAACGAAGTTACACCTGAGGGACCTCATTTGTAGGCAAGATGCTTCCAGTCTAGACAGCTGGTTGGAAAGGGCCTATTCAAGATAATGGGCCATCAGGGGAAACAACAGGCCTTAGGAGAAGCTTATTCCTCATCTGGTGAGCCTTCCTGAGAATGCTCCAGACAGCCTGTAAGTAATGGCAGCTATGACTCAGCAAGGGCATGTGACCAGACCACATGACACTGATCTCCATTTTTCCACAAACGGGGCTGAGAACTGAGGTTGGAACAAAGGGTTCCCGCCATAAATTAAAGCTATATAAGGTGGGGTGTGACATCACCTAGGGGCCTCACTCCCCACATAAGGACACTCCTGGAAAACCCCAAAGAACAAAGACTGGACTGGGGGAAAGGAAGTGTTGGTCCTAGGCTAAAAGGATTTTTAGCCTGTGTATGGAAACCTGGTGAATTGCTTGTATCATCAGCCAGGGTGAGAGATTGCTATTTCGTATCCAATCTATCTAGTATGTTAGGCTTAGTTTGCGGTTTTGTTTATTTGCTAGGTAATCTGCTTTGATCTGTTTGCTATTATAATCACTTAAAATAGATGGTTTTGTAGTTAATAAACTTGTTTTATGTTTTAATCTAAACCAGTGTGTCTTTGAAGTGTCTGGGGAAAATCTCAGCTTGGTTTAACACAAGCGTATAGTGCATATTCCTCTCCACATTGAGGGAGAGGCGAACTGAATAATAAATTCAATCTGGTTGGGGTTTCGATCAGGGCAGGACAGTACAGCTTTGGGGTCCTAGGCTGGGGAGCTGGAGGTTGGCTGTAGCCTCTCTATTGCTGGTTCATGCAGTGCCTGGTCAGCCTGCATGTAACTGCAGCTGGGTGTGTTGTTGCCTGTGCAAATGCTGGTGGGAGTGTAGGTCTGGGAGCAATCTACAGCTTGTCACAGCAGCACAGTGTGAGAGGGAGCCCAGGTTGGTGAGTCAGAGGGCTCAGTGGTACCCCAGTCCCAGGTAGCACCCCAGAGGGAACCCGTCACGGCATCCATCCACAACCCCAGTGGCCAAGCAGGAGAGACCCAAGGGTCACTGGGCCATGGGGAGCTGAGAGTGGCAGGCACCTGCATGTCCCTGTACACCATCTCATACTGCTGGATCATCTGCCTGCTGATTTGGCTGCCATGGTACACGATAGCATTCATCTCCGTCCAGGTGCGGAACTCCCGCTCCCAGTTGGTGATGGTGGAGAGCGGCGCAATGATGAGGAAGGGACCATGAATGTCCATCAGGAAGATCTCAGAAAGGAAGGTGATCGACTGGATCGTCTTCCCCAGGCCCATCTCATCCGCCAGGATGCAATTCTTCCTGCAGATGCAGCACAACACACATGGGGACACATTACGCATGGGGACACATTTAATAGGCAGCAGGTTTAAAACAAACAAAAGGAAGTCTTTCTTCACACAAGGCACAGACAACCTATGGAACTCTTTGCCAGAGAATGTTGTGAAGGCCAAAACTATAACAGGGTTCAAAAACAAACTAGATAAATTCACGGAGGATAGGTCCATCAATGGCTATTAGCAGAATGGGCAGGGATGGTGTCCCTAGCCTTTGGTTGCCAGAAGCTGGGAATGGGCAACAGGGGATTGATCACTTGATGATTACCTGTTCTGATCATTCCCTCTGGGGCACCTGGCGTCGGCCACTGTCAGAAGACAGGATACTGGGCTAGATGGACCTTTGATCTGACCCAGTATGGCCGTTCTTATGTACACAGCATGTTGGGGAACCCACAGCACTGACACTGCCTGCCTTGCCACCTTGGGCAGGTCATGCCACTTCTCTGAGTCTGGGAGAACTGCAGACAGAATTGTCTCCCAGGGGGTTTTGAGGGGGAACTTAGGGCCTCTAAAGCACTATGAGATGCTCACATTAAAGGTAGTCCTGGGCCAGCCACCAAAATATCTGCACATTACAGACCCAAGGTCAGTGGGAAAATGCTCACACAACTGCTGTGGGTGCACACACAAATCAGGCTACTGTGCATGCAAAGGCTAACCATCTGCATGTCCATCTGCTCCAGGTATTTGTGCATGGGTCAGTGCACAGCACTGTGCACATTTCTGTCTCTTAAGGGCATCTGTGTCCCTGCTATTGCCAGGGGCACACCAGCATGGCCAGCACCAACCAACCAACTACCCAAGGGACGCCCAGTGGAGTCCTCATTCTCCTGAGGCCTCACCAGCCCCAGGAACGCACCAGGACCTAGCACACACTTCATGCCATCTGGGAGGAGCCAACTTCATTGGTATTAAACAATCATAAAGGTAAATTACAAAGAACAAAACTATATTGGTTGCTGCTGACATGCACCCTGACAGCAGGGGGAGTAGTGACCCATCAGACCATGGGAGTGATAAGCCCATTACTCCTGGGGGAATTCTGCACCACTGTGCCCACGCAGAAATTATGTCCCCTGCAGATTTTTTTTTCCCCTCACAGAAAACAGATTCTGACAGGGAGGCACTGCAATTACACCTTTTGCCCACCAGGGGCTGCTGTGGCACCAGAAAAGAGGGCAGCTGACTCAGGGCCGGAGCAGCCAGCCACCACAGAGAGGGAGCGGGAGGGCTGCCTTCCTCACAGCATCCTGCCCGCGGGGCCAGGTGAGGAGGTATGGGATATGTGGGGGCAGGCAGAGCAGGACACACGGGGCTGCTGGGGGGTCACACAGACTGGTGTTCAGAAGGGCTAGTGGAGGGCATAAACCGGGGCGGGGCACAGGAGCAAGAGGGGTGATAGCATGGAGACAGGGACTGATGGGAGTGGAGGTGCAGGGACACATGGGGAGGGGGGGAATGCGGGGTGTCAAATATAAAGGGAAAGGTAAACACCTTTAAATCCTTCCTGGCCAGAGGAAAAACCCTTTCACCTGTAAAGGGTTAAGAAGCTAAGATAACCTCGCTGGCACCTGACCAAAATGACCAATGAGGATACAAGATACTTTCAAAGCTGGGGGGGGCGGACAAAGGGTCCTCTCTGTCTGTGTGATGCTTTTGCCAGGACCAGAGCAGGAATGCAGGTCAGAACTCCTGTAAAGAGTTAGTAAGCAATCTAGTTAGATATGCGTTAGATTCTGTTTTGTTTAAATGGCTGAGGAAATAAGTTGTGCTGAATAGAATGTATAATCCTGTTTTTGTGTCTTTTTGTAACTTAAGGTTTTGCCTAGAGGGATTCTCTATGTTTTGAATCTGATTACCCTGTAAGGTATTTACCATCCTGATTTTACAGAAGTTTTTCTTTCATTAAAATTCTTTTTTAAGAACCTGATTGCTTTTTTCATTGTTCTTAAGATCCAAGGGTTTGGGTCTGTGTTCACCTATGCAAATTGGTGAGGATTTTTATCAAGCCTTCCCCAGGAAAGGGGGTGTAGTGCTTGGGGGGGATATTTTGAGGGGGAGATGTTTCCAAGTGGGCACTTCCCCTGTTATTTTTGTTAAACACTTTGGTGGTGGCAGCATAAAGGTTCAAGGACAAAAGGTAAAAGTTTGTACCTTGGGGAAGTTTTAACCTCAGCGGGTAAGAATAAGCTTAGGGGGTCTTTCATGCAGATTCCCACATCTTTACCTTAGAGTTCAGAGAGGGGAAGGAACCTTGACACGGGGACAGGGACAGGGGTAGCTGAGTGGGGGTGGTGCAGGGATGGATGGGGGGAGGGGCAGATGTCCCTGACTGAACGAGAAAGGCTAAGGGTCAGCCAGGGTCTGCATGGGGGAGGCTCCTTAACAATCTCTTCTCCCCTTCCAAAAAAACCACTGTTCCATACCCCTCCCACCCACACCCAACAATCCTCCAGGATCACCCCCAGGTGCCTACCCAGCAATTACTTCCCTCTCCCTCAGCTCCTCTGTTATCCCAATTCCCCCAAATATTTGCACTGCTTCCGAGGGGTGCAGTAAATATGTTTCTGTATTGTAGTTTAAAGGAATTATTACTCAGAGTTCTGTATTAATATGCCTAGTAAGGAATCTATTTGTCAAAACACATTTCCTGAATTTTTTGTTGCTGTCCATATGGTTACAGACATACCTGCTAATAGGTATTTTGAAATAAATTACCAAAATAATTGAAACTGGCATGATTATATAGTGTTATTTTGACAAATAAAATATGCAGAATTTTAGAACATTGTGCACAGAATTGCTAATGTTTTGGTGCAGAATTCCCGTAGGCATAGCTCATGCATCTGCTTCAGGAAGCACCCTTCCTCTCCAATGGCACAACACTCCCCCTGGCCACTGACATGTGAAACACCAGCAGCGCTCCTTGTGGTGGGGCGTGCTCCGGCCCCTGCTCACCTGTTGTACCAGTTGAAGAGCAGCCAGTTCATCCCCTCCAGCTGGTACTCCCGTAGCTGGTTGCTATTCTTATAGTCCCGTGACTTCTCCAGTTTCTGCCAGAACTCAGAAGCGGGGCGCTCCTAGAAGGGGGAGCAGAGAGCATGACCCAGGGAGAAGAACAGGCTAGTGCTCAGCGAGGTATAGCTGCAGACTAGGGACAAGGGACAATGCTGGGCTCAGGCTGAAAAGGGAAAACTTGGGAAAGATGTTTCAAAATTATTAGCAAGCATCAGCTGATCAACAGCAAGGCCTCAGCCCCTAGATCCCAGCACCTGATTTTCCCCACCCCAAACGTGGGGGATGCAGGGGATCTGGGTCTCAGGATCAGAACAGCAGGGGGCTGCAGGTCAGGACTGAGGGGCATTGGCAGCACTGTGGAGGGGTCTCAGGATCAGAACAGCAGGGGGCTGCAGATCAGGACTGAGGGGCATTGGCAGCACTGTGGAGGGGTCTCAGGATCAGAACAGCAAGGGGCTGCAGGTCAGGACTGTGGGGCATCAGCAGTGCTGGGCGGGGGCTCAGGATCAGAACAGCAGGGGTGGCAGGCCAGGATCCAGGGACATCAGAAGCACTTAACCAGCACTTGTGCTAACAGGCCTCCCTCTCCCCGCGTCACAGAGCGGCCAAGAAGCCGAAGGGTACTTTACCACATGTTTGATCTCTGGTGGGATCTGCAAGGTCTCGAACTCTTTGATTTTTCCAGGGTCAACGTCTTCCTCCAGCTCCCAGGTGCTCTCCTCATACGGCAGCGAGCACCATTTGACCAGGTAGTGGGTCACCTCCTGCAGCGCAAGGAGAGGTGCGTCGGAATCAGGGAGGGGGACATGTTCTGGAAGGTGAGGACCGGGGGCCACGCATTCTCTTGCCCCATGGGGTGTAAGCCCCCAGCATTAGCATGCACACCCATGAGTGCCAGCCCACCTGCCTGCATGTACTGCACACACAAAGACATGCACTCACACACGTGAAGACATGCACATGAGCCTGCCTGCCTGCATGTACACACATGAAGACATGCACACTCAGGCCATGCAGACCCAGACCTCTGCTCAATCCAAACCTGGCCCAAATATCCCCCTGCATGGGCTAGGCCCTCAGGGTTCAGGGTCTCCTCCCCAGGCCCCAGATGCCAGCCGACAAGGAACACAACACACCATTCTCTGCAGGCTAGGGATCAAGGATCAGGCAGGGACTCAGTGCCAGCCTCAGGGGATCACCACATTTCTAGCCCCCTGCTCCCAGCACTTCTTCCCTCTGGGTTTGCTGAGTCAGCACTTGGTAATAACTACCCTGGAACCAGTGTTCCTGAAACCCACAGCTCCCGGCAGGTCCCATAAACAGGTAAATAAACTTGCCTTCCCAGGGCACTTCCATTGAGCTCCCCCTGGGCACAACCTCTGCCCTCCCCACTGTGCCTTGCTCCCCCCGCTTCCAAATGAAGAGCAGCTGCATGCTAGGGGTGGCACTCACCTCCCCGGTGTCAGAGTCCTTCGTGTGAGCCACCTCCAGGATCCGATCCACCTCCACGTAGTCTGGGTTGAACAAATCCTCGTCAGGCTGGTGCAGCGGGAGGAGAGAGAGGGACACATTCAGTTTGCCTGCTGGGCCGAGCAGACCCGAGGGTGAAAGGGACATGGTCCCAGGGCTCCACAGTGCAGGGAGCACATACCGGAGCTGGCCCCTGCATCTGCCTTCAGGGGGCCACCAGGGAGGTGTCGGAAGAGCAGGCCCCTTGCTGTCCTAGAACGCATGAGAATGCTGGCTCTGTGCTGCCGCTGATGGGAAGGAATGTCTGCCTGAGCTCAGCGAGCGAGGAGCTCACACCTAGGGCACAAGCTAGCTCAGAGCCCGGCCCTGTGTGCTCGTGAGTCCAAGGGCTCCCGCCGATGAGCGGCCAGACACAGCCCCAAGCAGGCCTTCACACCCCTCCGTCCTGGCAAACCTCAGCAACCCGGGTCACCTGCCAGACACAGCCCCACCTGACTCTCCTCGGCCAGCTTAACACAGCCAACAGCCCGGAGCCTGGCAACCAAGCTGTAGGGGCCCTCACCTCCCCACAGTCCCACCACTCTCCCTGGCAGGAGCAAGCTGCAGAGGGGTCACTGCCACCCTGGCAGGCTGTGGGGAGGGAGGGGAAGGAGATGGGTTTCCTTGTTGCACAGCTTAGAGGCCGAGTCAGAGCATGACTTGCACCCTGCCCGGGGTTAGGGGCACGATGCTCTCCAGTAGGGACACTGCGTCTGCACACTGGGCAAGGGCTGGGAGTCGGAGCCCCTGAGGGTTTACAGCCACGCTTACAAAGACATTGCCATTTCCTCAACGCTGATTTACACTCGCCAGGACATGGCACAGGAGCCGCCGGCAAATATCTCCGGAGTGAATGTTAGGAAACGGCTGTGAATGTTAGGAAACGGCTTCCAATCTGCTCACAAAGCAGGGCCTGGGTGTTTATGGCTCCTTCTCTCCCTGCAACAGCCCTGCCCCAGGAGATCTCGCTCGCTCGCACCATGAGCAGGCACACTGCACAGATGAGTGCGTAATGCCAGAGGGCTCTCCAGGGAGCCACGCTGCCCCCACTCCTGCAGCAGAGATACTTCATGGGCTGCAAGAGGAGTCCAGATGCAGATGCCACCCCATGTTATACATCCCCTGCCCCGATACACACTGCCCTGGCATAATAGTGCCACACACACCCTTCTCACACTGCCCTGATACACGCTGCACTGGCATGATGGTGTCACACACCCCTGCTCACACTGCCCCAATACATGCACCCTGGCACAATGGTGCCACATGCCCCTGCTCACACTGCCCCACTGCCCTGGCACGATGGCACCATACACCCCCTGATCAAAGTGAACATGACCTGCTAAATTGAGGCACGAGGTGCCCATGCCAGGGACAAGCCACAGGGGGTTGGGTTAGCTCACATGTGGCAATGCTGGCCTGAGCCCTATGTCCTTCCTTAGACAAACGTGGACTGTCAGTGTGATCCCCCAGAGCCACGGTGGGTTGGGGGCAGCAGGGCTGACAGCTTGCAGTCATGTCTGGCACTGTGGGGGGTGTCACTGGCCCCACAGGCACTGCTGAATACCTCTCCCCCCGTCTGCTTGGGCTGCTGTGAGGCTTCTCCTGATCATACACACGTGAGCCAAGGAGCAGAGTCCATCCAGTATCCCCTTCAACCCACTGGCATTGGGCTGGAGCTAGCAGCCAGCCCCAGGACTAGGAGAAAGGCTGCCTGGCTGCCTCCAGCTGGGACGCATCGCTCAGAACAGAGCTGGGGCAGGTCTGGCTGAGCCAGCCGTCAAGCTGAAGCTCCTGCACTGTAACTGGGGACAGCTGGGCAGAGAGCATGGCAGACGGCAGTGCCCAGCCGGGGCTCACGAGCAGCACCCAGCCAGTTCGACTAGCCCAGCTCTCCAGAGAGGAGATAGAAGTGTCAGCCGCCTGGCCATGGCCTCACCTCTGTGAAGATATGCTTCATCTGGGCCTGCTTGTTCCGAAAGCGCTTTATCTTCTGAGAGATCCTGGGGTCTTTCTCCAGCTCTTCCAGCGTCGCCCACTTGCAGTGCAGGTAGGAGCTGCGGAACAACAGGCAGGCAAACATGAAAGCCTGGTGGGTCGCGAACCCGCCCCCCCTCCCAGCGTGAAGGAGCTCTCAGTGACCCCCCCACTGCACTAAGCCCTTGGTTTGTAACACAAGGCCAGAGGCTGGGGAAACAAATGGCTCCAGTACAGCTGAGACTGAGCTCCATGGCCAAGGATGGCAGCAACTTCCTGTTCCTAACACCCTGCCAGGGGCATGGGCTCAGAAGGAAGCCCCGGGGGAGAGGTTCCAAGCACCTAGCCAGAGCTAGCACAGGCTGGGTTTGCATCAAGCTGGCAGCCATCCCAGCAAGGTGGATGCTAGTGCGAGGGGAGCAGCATGGGGCACACACGTGCACACACACCTCCGCACACAGCACTTCCTCATACACACTCCGCACCCAGCGTACGGCCACACACACCTCTCTGAACATCTGTACACATACCTCTGCACTCAGCGCATGTGCACATCTCGCCACACACCTAGTGCATGCACGCATCTGCACACAGCATGTGCACACACACATCTCTGCGCACACCACGTGCATGCACACGCATATACTTCTCCACACAGCACTTGCATACACACAACTCTGCACACAGCACGTGTGCCAATACAGAACATAAACGTTGCACGTACAAGTTTCTGTACTTGACGTAGAATTCCTCCATCTCATAGGCCAGGCCGCCTGGATGAACCTGAAACCAAGAGTGAGCGGGTTAGCACCAGCCAGCGCAGGGAAGGGGTGCGGGGCCAGGGACCTCTCCCCTGGTCAGGGCTCCGACTCTGCTCCTCTGGCCTGTGTGTAAACTGGAGGCAGAACAGGAGCACGGGAGACAGCGAAGAGGAGAGCGGAGCAGCATGAGGCTCGGGAAGATGACGAGCGCTGCCCCAGGTCTAACTCGAGGTTTCAGTGGCCCTGGAGGGCCAGGAAGGTAACAGAGAGACAGAACTTCCTCCATGTGCTGCCCCAGAACACACTTCCGCAAAGGGCAGCCACATGCCAACAGCTCACCAGGCCCAGGCTCCCACCCGCGTTGGCTCACTGCCCGACTGATGGGCGACGGCCTTCCCCTGCCCAAGGCCAGGTGGGCACCACGTTAGCCCCACCCACAGGAAGCGCTGGGATCTACCACACCCCAGAATTGTGGGATCCAGTAGAAGTTGCACACAGCTGGCACTGTGGGGACCCAGTACTTGCCCCTTTGGGATGTGCAGGCTCTGTCAGACCCCTTTTCACGCACCTTGTCCCAACCCCGCAGTCCACCCCGCTGCTCCAGAAAGGGCAGTGTTCCCATCTCTGCCCTTCATGGAGCTGCTCTGTTGTGAGGCTCCTCTGCTGGCCTCACCCAGGCCCAGCAATGGCCATAGTCAGCCAATCAGAGCCCTTCTCTCATCGTGCCCACTGTATCCTGAGAAAGCCCAGAGCAGATGCTCATGGGAGGCAGCAGGGGCTGACTCCTGGGGAAGGGGAACTCCCGGTCAGTGGGCTATGCCTCTTCCTTGGGGGTGTCCAACCCCCAACGGTGTGACATCACATTGCCTCAGCCCCCGGCGAGGAGGCCATGGGCAGCCATAGGGCCATGTCAGTATGCCAGAGCTGTGCCCAGGTGTCTCCCATTTTTAGACACAGGAGGGGAGGGACACTCACCTCCTTCTGCACCAGTCTGGAGGCAAGGATCTTCTCAATGATGTTGGCATCATCCTCAGGGGGCTCCTGAGGGCATCGAAGGGAAAGCAGAGTCAATACCTTGGCCTGGTAGTGGGGCACAGCACCCGCAGCCCTGCCACACAGAGCTCACTGGCCGCCCCACTCGCCTTCCGCCCACTGGGCTCACAGCAGTGTGGGAGCCTGGAGCTGGTAAACAATGGGGTGTTCTTCACAGTCCCAGCTCAGAGGGATCAGAGCAGCACCACTCACTGCTCTTCAGACAGGCCAGGAGCAGCTTCAATGGCCCCTGGATGGGGCTGCAATTTCCAGGGCTGTGTTTGGGGCCAGGAGAGGGGAAGCATCATCCCAGCACCCTGGCTCCTCCTGGTGGCACTCAGCTGAGGCCGCCCAGACCCCACCTGAGCCCCAGCAGTGCCCAACGCCAAGGTGCTATTCCCTAGCCACACACACGTAGGGAATGGCACCAGCAAGCCAGGGGACGGGGAGGTGCTCTGCACTGGGGGCTGGACAGAGCCTCAGGGCCAGCGTCTGCCTGTCGGTGCACCAGCTCCAGCCTCTCCCAGGGGCACGAGGGAGCCAGCAGCGCACAGCACACGCACAATATGGGGGGTACCCTGAGGACGACACGTGTCCTCTTCCACCCTGCAATATCACAGAGTGTCCCAGGGCAGGGCATGACTCCCCCTCTCCACGGGGAGGGGCTTGTGCTCTGCCGCAAGGCTGGAGCAAGTTTAGAAGCAGACCGCCAGTGGAAGGGCTTGGGGGAGGGGGAGGAAATACAAGCCACAGGCTCCTGAGAGCAGGACAGGTGGGGCACCCAACTACATCGGGGTGAGCCCCACATCGGGGAAAGCCCCACACCTCATGGCTGGCTGCATCACTATCTGTGCCACTCACAAAACTCCCCATCTCCATCCCTGGGGGCACCATGCACACTGCACACGAGTGTTGTAAGAGCCTTGTGGGTGGGTTTTGTTCCTAGCCTTGGAAGGGCCAAGGTGCCAGTGGGTTTCTCTAGCCACAGTTGCTATGGTCACCTCTAAAATGCTGGATGTCAGATGGAGGCAACGAATGCAGCCAGCCCCAGAGGCCGCAGCTCGTCGGACTTGCTGGCATAATGCCGCAGGGGAGCAGGAGGGATGGAGCATTTGCACATAGTGACCCACCCAGAATGGGGTTTTCTCTGGGGTGTGCTGGGGTCAGGCCACATTTGCCCTGACCAGAGGGAAGCAGATGGCAGGTGGGACCAATGGGCCTGCCAAGGACACTTCCCTTTCCCATTTGGATTTCAGCAAAGGATTTGCTGGGGTCTCCCAGGAAATCTCACTTGCAAATCATTTCCATGGGCCAAGCTAGGATCACAGGCCTGTGACAGTGGCCAAAGGAGAATCAGCAACAGAGAGAAAGGGCCGAACATCTCCCCTGGGAAGAGCAGCAGGGTCGCGCTGAACAGCTCAGTAAAGGAGATGACTAATATTCACGCGGAAGCTTGGCTGAGAGCTGACTAAGGGGTACACAAAGAGAGGCTGTAATCAATATTGAACAGCTTCGCTAAGGGCTGGAGCAGGGAGCGAGCAGCCAGTGCTTGACACTCAGAGCAGAGACCCGGCCGAGAGAAGTGTCAGAGTCTGCCAGGACAGAGCACTGACACAGGGGGACCTGGAGAGAGTAGAGACATGGGCACCGAGAGAGCGTGTAGACAGGCACATCCGAAATGCCTCAGGACTCACAGTGAGTGGCCAGCGTGCCAGACACAAGGTGATGAGGCTACAAAGATGGCGAGCACAGCGCTGGGCTGCAGACAGACCCCATACTCTGGAGCAGGGAAGCAATTGCCCCATGCCGCATGGGTGGGCTGTGATCACACCCCCCACACAGGGCACTGCATTGCCAGAGATGCCAAGAAACTGGAAAGGGGTCAAAGATACCAGCAGGCTGGAGACACTAATCTCCACAGCCTCAGTCCTGACAGCTTAGTGTGGTTAGGGGATGCGGAAGGAGGGACATGGCAGCAGCCCACAGACACCCCGAGGGCATTAATGCCAAGGAGGGAGGGGATCACTGAGTGTGGTGTCGGGGCAGAGCTGGGTGGGGCAGGAAGACAGCCTCCCCTGGGATTAGCCTCCCAGAGAAGGGGCAGAGCAGGGCCTGCAGAAACAAGAGGGAGCTCAAGCCCCGGACCATGGGCTGAGAACAGGCCCTCAATGACCTGGAAGGCCGACATGCTGGGGCTCTGGATGGTCCTTCCTATCTCTCAGCGCTAGGAGGTGCTGGGGTTGAACGCTTCGCTTTCGGAGAGCCCCCCGCACACTCTGCAAGGAGCCATGCTGAGCTCAGCTGGACAATGCTCTGGGCAGCTCTCACCCATCCTCTTAGGCACATGCACTGCCCCACACAGCTGGCTCCCCCTCAGACCCACACGCTCCTGCTTGCTTTCAGTACACAGCCAACACCACATTCATGCCCCTCCCTCAATACAGCAGAGCCCCAGCCCCTCTCTAAAGGAACGGCTGGCGCAAGACAGGCTAGTGGGCCCTCCCGTACCTCTGCCTGCCATGCCAGCGTGGACGCGGAGAGTGCGGAGGCTCGCCCAGCTCCCAGCACTGCTATCGTCTCGCCATCGTCATCCACCACTTTGAAATCCAGGTCCTCATTGTATTTCCTCCGCTTCACCTGGCGACCCGAGCGGCGCTTCTGTGTGGTAGACAACACAGGCAATCAGAGGGCTGGTGGACAACACCACCTCTTCCTCCCCATGGCCACAGGGACTCACAGGGGACGGAAAGGTGCAGGAGGGGAGACAGCGCAGCCACACCTGGGAGAATCCCATCCCCACCCCGGCCTGTGGGATAACAGTGCCCTATACAGCAGACACTGCCAGAGTGCGCAGCTATTCTCACAGTGATTTCCGTCTCCGTCTCTTGGCTCTCACACAGGGCACTACCAGAGATCAGATCCCCCCTCCCCAGGTCAAAACACACAGCTGCTCACACGCTCCCTGAGAACCCCCAACACGGAGCACGGTGTTTGCACCCAGCATTCCAGCCCTGTGGTTCAGGTGCGTCCATTTCGGGCCCATCCTGGTAGGTGCCCAGGGACTGCAATCCTCGGAAACCATGGGGCATTAAGGGCGCCTGGCACCTCTGAGGATTGGTTTAAGCCACATGCTTTTCTAGCCTGGCTCAGAGGTGGCGGGGGAGCACCGAACAGAGGCCAGGGCTCAGGCTGGGGTGAGCACCGAACACAGGCCAGGGCTGAAGGATGCTGGGGGATGGTGAATCCCCTGCCCAAATCACATGGGCCATCTCTTAGGGGACCCCAATGGAGAGCTGCGCTACTGCTGGATTGTGGAGGGAGGTTCTCAACATGACGCTCCCACCCCCATGAATGGAGCAGGCTGCCAGTAGCACTGCAGCCCTGCTGCCCAGAGAGCCAGAGACCAGCAGGGCTCCACGGTGTTGGGGGGGTGCTGCCCATGCTGTGCTCAGCACACCCTCCTGCTGGCATGAGGAGCAAGGCACTCCCAGACCCACTGAGCTGGGGAGCAAGGGGTCAGAGGGAAACACAGACAAGTAATGTGCAAGGGCAGCGTGCTGACATTAACCCTTACATTACCAGCCGCAAACCTGGCCAAGGTAGCTATCCACTGACCAACTGCTACCTAAGCTCAATGCACAGGCACCCAGATGTACAAAATCAGCTGTAGGAAGTCAGAGCTGTGTTAGATCCCCAGGACGTACAACAGGCTCTAGCCAGCTGAGCCCACTGAGGCCAGCGCCTTGCACATACCTGGCTGTCGGCCGACTCAGCAGACTCCTCAGGGCTCTGCAGAGACGGGCTAAGGAGGCCTTGATCCAATTCCAAACTCTCCACTGGGATCTCGTTTTTCCTTTTCCCTTTCTTCTTCTTCTCCACGGGGGTTGGTCCTTGCTCCTTGCTGCCAGGAGAGACGGACAGTTAATCCCTTCTCCAGAGATGTCAGAGCTCAGCATCCAGGGAGAGGCCAGCAAAACCCTTTGCCTTTTTAGTTCTTTAATCCCACTTTGGGGAGCTTCTGCATCAGGTCACCAGGATGCACAGAGGCCAGTGGGGAGAGCTCCCCTTGGGAGTGAACCCCAGCTGTACGCAAGGCACCTGGCCCCACAGTCACAGCGTTCTGTGACCTGGCCCCACAGTCACAGCACTGCATGAATCTGGTCAGGTTGCCTGGCCCCATGGTCAGAGAGCCACACGGACGTGGCCAGGACACCTGGCCACACGGTCAGCCCTGTCAGGGAGTGTGGTCTACTGGTCAGAGCAGGTATCTGGGAGTGATAAGAGGAGGTTACCTATCTGTAACTGAAGGCTCTTTGAGATGCATGGAGTACCCCATCTGTATTCCACTGAGGGATCTGAGCATGCACCCGGAGCTGGAGCTTTTAAAAGTAGTAGTGTCTGTGTCCACACACATGCCCTTGGTTTCGTCCGGGGTGGACTGACTGTGCCCTCAGCTCCTTCTTCACCACAAATCAATCAGATCTGCGGCAGAGGGGAAGGAGGGCAGGACTGGAATACAGGTAGGAACCACACATCTCGAAGAACCACCACTTACAGGTAAGTCACCTCCTCTTCTTCTTTGCATGACAGTCCCTATGGTATTCCACTGAGGGTGATTAACCATCAGTACCTTAAGAAGGAGGAGGGTGTGAGGATGATGACGATGCAACCAGGGAGAGGAGGATGGCTGCGCCGAAGGAGGCATACGTAGAAGCGTCCTGCACCAAGGTGTAATGGGAAGAGAAGGTATGTACTGAACTCCACGTGGCTGCCCTACAGATATCCATAAGGGGCACGTCATGAAGCACGGCTGCAGTTGATGCTTGAGCTCATGTGGAATGGGCCCGTATCCCACGCAATGGAGACTGCCCTGATAACTGGTAGCAGAGCATAATGCACCCCGAAACCGACTTAGAGATCCTCTGAGCGGAAATCACTTGTCCCTTAATGCATTAAGTTACAGAAATAAAGAAGCCTACGGGACTTCCTGAAGGGTTTTGTCCCCTGCAGGTGAAAGGCCAGGGCCCTGGGGATGTCGAGGGAGTGAAGGCGTTGTTCCTCCACTGAAGCGTGAGGCTTTGGAAAGAAGGCAGGTAAGTGCATAGGTTGGTTGACACGGAAACAAGGGACAACCTTAGGCAGGAACTTGGGGTGCACGAGTAGGGAAACCTTGTCTGTGAAAAGTGGTAAAGGGGCAATCAGCCATCATGACCCCCAGTTTGCCCACCTGTCTCGCAGAAGTGATAGCCACTAGGAAGGCAACCTTTATGGAGTGAAGAGAGAAAGCATGAGGCCATAGGTTCAAAGGGTGACTTTGTCAATGTCGTTAGGACAAGGTTGAGGTCCCATTGGGGAGTGATGGACTGAACAGGAGGGTAGGTTCACAGAAGACCTTTCCAAAACCTGGAAGTCAATACATGAGTAAAGACAGCGTGCCCCTCAAATGGAGGGTGGAAGGCACTGATAGTAGCACTTGATGGAGCTGAGAGTGTGGCTGGATGCCTTCAGAGAGAGGAAATAGTCCAGAATAAGAGAGATGTCCACATTTTCAGGGACAAGGCTCCAGCTTTGGGACCAAGAAGTGAAATATTCCACTTGGCCCCACAGGAGCACCTCGAGGACTCCTTCCAGCTGCTCAAGAGAATGCCCTGCACTGCCGACAGGCATTCCCACTTTAATAAAGATGCCCATCCAAAAACCAAGCTCTGGGGTGCCGGATCCATCTGCCCTGTTGCATGACCAGTTCCGGGAGAGACTGTAGTGGGGAGTGCACTGACATGCAGAGAAGCAGGAGAAACCAGAACTGTCAAGGCCAGAAGGGGACAATCAGAATGACTGCCTCTCTCTCTCACCTGACCTTGTGCAGGACTCACCGTAGGAGCAGTAGGGGAGGAAAGGCATAACTGAACCGATCAGACCAGCAAAGGACTAGAGCATTGCTCTGGGACAGGACACCAAGACAGCCTCTGGAGCAGTATTAGGTGCACTTGTTGTTGGCCTGGGAGGCGAAGAGGTCCCTGATTGGAGTTCCTCAGCAGCTGAAAATGCTGGTGACTAGTGTTGTGAAGCTTCCATTCATGAACCTTCTGCTGAGAGAGTCCATGATTATGTTTTGAATTCTGGGAAGGTTCGCCACGGAGAACAGAATCTTGAGGATGATGCACCAATCCTAAAGGCCTCCGCCCACAGCACAGGAGACCTCGTGCCCCTTGCTTGTTGATGCAGTAGACAGTGGTATTTTCCGATATGATGAGGACATGACAGGAATGGATGGATGGGAGAAATGCCCAACACGCTCTCCTCACTGCTCTAAGTTCCAGGGTGTTGATGTGCATCCGGGACTCCCAAGCAGTCCAAGTGCCTTGAGTCATGCACCTGCCCATGTGGACCCCCCATCTAATGAGCAGGGCATCCATGATAATTGTCATGGAAGAGGAGGGTGGGAGGAACGGTATCCCAGTGCACACCCGAGCAAGATCTGCCCACCACTGGAGTAGGAAGAGGACCTCATGGGGAAAAGTGGAGAGAAGATCCATAGAAAGGTGCTGTGACGAAGTTGGGAATTTTTGTAGTGTTTTCCATGAATAGTGTGTGCGCACCTCAGTTTTCCTGTGTGCTGCACGTTTAACAAGGTGGTGAGAGAGGGTTGTTGGTGCAGAGGACCAGGTGTGACGTCGCCTAGCAGCCGGGACCCCCAGACAACAGCCTGTAGATGGGGTACCCTAACAACTGGTGACCTGGTGACTAAGAGGTCCACCCCAACTTGGCAGTCAGCCGGTTCTGGCCCGTGGGAGGACAAAGGGTTGAGGGGAGAGGACCCCAATGACCTGTTTACCTGGGACGGAAGACAAAGGACAGGGGAGGAGCTGTTGGGGGAGACGACATCAGATAATTGGCTGGATGGAGGGGGCTGCTGGAGTGGAGAAAGGGAGCAGCCAGAGCCCACCTGGATGCAGGAGAGACCTAGATATATGGTGCTGAGGGATGCTAGGCCTGAGGGCCTGAAGAGTTTCCTGTGCTAGGTTCAAATGCTCAATAAACCTTTCTGTTTTACGCTGGCTGAGAGTCACTCCAGCCTAAAGATCAGGGTTGCATTATTCCCTCTGGGAGTGGAGGCCCGGGGGTCCAGAGCGAGGGAACTCCCTGAGGGGACCCCCGGTGAGAGACAGGCGTGCTGAGGGCTCAGAGAGGTGCGGTTCCAGGAGCCAGAGGGGCCTGCAGCTTAACCGCTGAGAGAGAGTGGACCCCCGAGAACGGCTGTCACACTGAAGGGGTTCCTCCCAGGGACCATACAGAGCCAAGAGAGAGCACGAGTCCTGTAAGTCCAGGACAGGTGCGTAGGGAAATATACCCTCTGGAGCCATAGGTGTAGGCAGCAAAACCGCAGATGAGCGAATGCAGTCACACAAGTGCAAGCCGACATGTTGCCAAGAAGAGAAAGGCAGGCTCTGGCTGGGATAGATGGACTGGACACCACCCTGAAAATTAGGTCCTGAAGGGTCTGGAACCTGTCCTCCAGCAGGTCTGCATGAGCCGAGATCACGTCAGTACGTGCCCCAATGAACTCTAGCAATTACATGGGGTCCAAAGTTGATTTTTCAATGTTTATGCTCACTCCCAGGGAGGAGAGGTGTGTGAGCAACATGGAAATCGAAGCTCAAGCTTCCCTTCTTGATCGTATCGCCAGCAGCCTATCATCTAAATAAGGGAATAGAAGGATCCTTCCACAGTGGAGGTGGGCCGCCACAACTGAGAAAACTTTGTTGAATACATGAGGAGCAGTGTTGAGTCTGAACAGGAGAACCCTGTACTGAAATTGATGATGATCTGCCATGAATCTTAGGAATCGTCTGTGGGAAAGGATGGATGTCCACATGAAAGTAAGAACCATAAACCACATACTTCTTTCTAGGGAAGGAATGATGGCCGCCAGAGTGACCATACAAAACTTTGGTTTTCATACTAAACGGTTGAGATGATATAGGTCTAGGATCGGTCGCCACCCGCCTGTCTTTTTGGGGACTAGGAAATAAGTGGAATAGAACCCTGCCCTCTGATGGGCTGTGGGAAGAGATTCTATCGTGCCCATCTGAAGTAGGAAGTCCACTTCTAGGGTGAGGATACGGTTGTGAGAATGATTCCTGAAGCGCGGGTTGGGGATATGGACGAGGTAGTGTTTGGAACTTAATTGTATAGCCATGTCGAATGACATCCAGGATTCACTTGTCCATTGTTATTGCACTTCAAGCTGGCAAGAAGATAGCTAGGCACCTGCCAAAGCGGGTGGGCCAGGAGCACGGCATGAGGCACAATAGTTCGCGGCTCTCTTAGTGTTCTCAGAAATAGAGCTTCTGAGATGTTTGAGTGTGAGATGCAGGAGGTTGTGATGACAATGAACTGGAAGGATAGGATTGCTGGGTCCTCTGCCGTTTGCGAGAAGGCTCATAGGATCTTTGGAAAAACTGGGGAGCTTTGAACCACTGGGTTGGAGGTGGATGGTAGAATTTGAGCTTGGGCGGCGGTGTGTAGATACCCAGAGACCGGAGGGTTGCTCTAGAGTTCTTGAGGGAGTGAAGAGAGTCATCAGTCTTCTGATCGAAGAGGTGAGACTCATCAAAGGAAGATCTTCTATGGAGGTCTGGATCTCCTTCAGGAAGTTGAAGGAATGTAACCAGGACTCTCTGTGCATGACAATACCCTTGGCCATCGTATGCGAAGAAGTGTCTGCTGCGTCAACTGCGGCCTGCAGCGTTGTCCTCGCCACCAGCTTCCCTTCCTCTAGGAGAGCTTGCAATCGGGCCTGATCCTGCAGGGGCAGTTTATCAGTGAAATCCATACGTTTCCCGCAGGTAAGGAAGTTGTATTTCGCAAACAGAGTCAAGTAGTTCAAAAGGCAAAATT